AACTGGCGACTTTCAAGTACAACTTTAGTACGCGGAGCAATCTGTAGGGCTGGAAGCTGAGAACTGGCGACTTTGTAGTACAACTTTAGTACGCGGAGCAATCTGTGCAGCTAGAAGCTGAGAACTGGCGACTGTGTAGTACAACTGCAGTACGCGGAGCATCTGGGGAGCTGGAAGATGAGAACTGGCTGGCGACTTTCTAGTACAACAATAGCACGCGGAACAACCTGTGGAGCTGGAAGCTGAGAACTGGCCACTTTGTAGTACAAGTGTAGTACGCGGAGGAGTCAGCCCTCGCTGCTGCGAGTCATCTCTCGCGACTGAGTCAGCTCTCGCTATAGCCATCTCTCGCGGCTGAGTCATCTCTCGCTGCTGAGTCATCTCTCGCGGCGTGCAGGTTTGGCACAGTTCATACTGATAGTATTTGATTGCATTTATGCAGGACAGGACATTCAACTGCTGGTCAATACACCACTCATCATACACCACTCAGCATACACCACTCATCATACACCACTCGTCATACACCCCTCTTGTCGTGGCAAAGATACAACCCAGTACGCTGTTGTGAGCTGCTGATCCTGCAGGGGGCACACACCTTACACACGTGGAATCCCGTGGGTCAAAAGTCCGGAGCGCGTGCGTTTGACTGGAGGACGCGCATGTTGGAGAGAACGTGGACACTCCTATGTCATTTTGTTCTTATAGGAAACTTCCGCCGCCGGCTTGCCCGGGAACTACTTGTATAGCTTTCTCTTGAGCTGAAGATCTGAGGCTGCAAAGCAAAAGGATGGCTGAGAACAATCACAAAGCACCTGAGAAAGGAAGCTGAATACACTGAATACAATCTATGAAAGGAAAATGAATACTACAATCAATTACAAAAGGAATCCTCACAGGAATCCAAACTTGTTTTGGTGGTAATTTTTTATAGAGGGTCCCCTCTTTGTTTGAGGGGGGGGAACCCCCTTTGCTAATCAGGATCCAACATTAACCCGCCGCTACCACGCTCAGGCAAATTTAGCTAAGTTACACTTCTGGGTTTTGGGAGCCCTTGAACTGAACATGTAACATTAATTCTTGACGGCTCTTTCCCTATACCAGGGTCCAGGGGCCACGGGAACCGTTCGACCTCTCGGCCTCGATGGCCGATGTCTTGGCCCGGTGGTCCTTCCGAGTTCCCTGGTCTCCCCGTTAAGGGAATAGAAACAGAGACACAGGGAGATGAGAGAAAGTCTACAAGAATATGCCATTTATTGTCTAACTTATCTTTTTCCTGGTCTAATTCCTTCATTTCCTTTCTTTCCTTGATGTTTAGAAATTGTTTGAAGGAAATTTTGAAAGGTAAATAACCGAAAAACTGTGAAGACAAATAACTTTTAGCTTTTTTCCTGGTCTAATTCCTTCAATTCCTTTCTTCCCTTGATGTTTAGAGTTTGTTTAAAGACATTTCTGAAAATAGAAAGTTCATTGAAACTTGAAAAGCTATAAGTTTTAGACGCTTTGCAGGGCAAATGTCCGCATTTCCTCTCTTTCCTGTCTTTCCTTGAAGGACCCCCCCAACTCATCTAATCGAGAATTTATTAACTGTAACATGAAGGCCAGGTATCAGGTTACATTTTTGGTGAATTTCATCACACACAGACACACACCGACACCGGGGGTATGCCCCGCAAATACGTGGCTGGGGGTCAGCTTACATTTGTGTTTGGTGTGGGGGGGTTACCAAAAATGTAACTTACATTTGGGGCCACCCCCCGGCTTTTATGGTTATATAAAGGGGCGGCGATACAATATCATACCATGTCAGCTTCAACAAAATTTGCACCGCACCACGCGCTTTCGGAATGAGTTCGACACTTTCTGAGCACACTCCCATCCACCAAAGTCGCCGTTTGAGCTGAAACGTGTCACGAAAACACAACTTTGATGCAACACCCTGAAGTGCAAATCCCAATGTCACAGCCACATCCAACACCCCAAAAACACCACTCTCCAAACGCGAATCCCAATGTGACTGTGCAGACCTGCGGATCTCACAAAACGCGACGCCTGCGCAGTGAAATCTTCCTCCACACTTCAACATCTTACGTTTCCGCACGGTTCCTCGAGTCTGACACGTCACGTTTCCAAGCTCCCCTCCAAAACCTTCCAGCGCTTTATCGCTCTATCGCGGACGGCTGCGAACGGTTGACAACGGTTGCGATCGCTCAGACAACGAGTCGCGAACAAGGCTCTACCCCCAGACCCCCAGAGTTAAACGAGAACCCTTCGCTACGCATTCGGGAAAAAGGCACCACATGCGAGAATGGATTTGGCCGCACCTGTAGAACGAAGAGCCATTTGCAGCATGCCCAGCACTGCCTGCTCAAAGGTATCAACATGGCCTGTCATGTCCAATATGACAAAGGCATGCAAAAGCACTATGCTTTTGCACAATGCTGCCTCCTGCGAAGAGTTTGGAAGAAAGCGCAAACACGCTGCAAAAGCGCGACTCCTGGGAAGACTGCATCCCGATAAGAGTACGTCGAGTACGTACACTGAAAACAAAATAAAACAAACAGCTTTCTGCTGAGCAACACCCTAAACTTGCCAAGGTACAGTGCGCCGTGAACATCCTCAGGCCGCTGTCGCAAATGCTTTGCGATTCGCAGCAACACCCGAAGGCTTAACCTGGCAAAAGAACGGGAAAATCTGCCAAAACTTAAAAGTTTGATGACCGGTTGGAACTGGTTGATGCATCGTTATGCATGGTTGCTCGCAAAAAGAACAAAAAACAACAACTCCAGAAGCGAACACAAATGCTGGCGTGCTGGGAGTGAGAGAGTGAGAGAGCACACGCAAAGGCAAGAAGAATGAATTGGAACTTGATCGATTGACCAGGTCAATCGCTCACTTGCCTCAGCGGCTCAAGCCCGGGCTCGTCCACAAGTGCTTTCCGAAGCTTGTCACCATAAACAAGCAAAGCACGAAACACCTGCCACATGGTGAGCAGTGACATGTCACTTACTATTGGCTATCGCTCACGTCTGACATAGTCATACCATTTCGTGCTATTGACTTGCAAGAGCTTCTGCTGGGAAACCAGAAAGAAAAGAAACCAAGGCAGAGAAAATGCCAAACGGAGCAGGCACCGATGCAAGGATCAACTCGTTTCCACGTTCTTTGGCAGCAACAGGTGGCTTAAAATCAAAACCGTTCTTCGATCATTGCACAAAACCTAAAATCAATGGGACAATAGCAAGCGTCTCTGAGATGAAACTTCTCTGACGACAGCCTAGGCATGCTTGGTCCACCCACCTTCACATGGCTTTCCTTCATTTGCATCCTCAGCCTGGGCAAAGTCGCCACTCCCTCCGAAATTCAATTGTTGATTTCTGGTGACTCACCCAGAACCAACTGTGAGACTGTGAGTACAAGTAGGAGGCAACAAACTCTCGGATTCTTTAAGAGTCCCTGCTTGGTTCCAGAGCCTGTGGCAAGACTGAGCTGCTCCTGACAACTCACACAGCATGCTCACCATACAGTGTATCAGAGTACAAAAAGCGTCTGCTTGAACTGCAGCGGTCTCCTCCTCTGGCAAAGGATTGACGTGATGGAAATGAAAGAGGGTGGTGACCTGGCAACAGCTTCGGGGGTGCTCACAGCCTACAAAACAAGCATATCCGCCGACCCCAGCCAAAGCAGGGAAGCGCGCAAAGGAAGACGAGGTTATGAGCTTGCAAGCAGTTGCAAACGCAGGCAGATATTGACAACAATTATACGTTACATATATACAATTTATATATACAAAAAATATGAGCTTTCTGCTACATACAGGTCTGACAGCATTTCATCTCCCCTCACTGCTCTCGCCTTGGGTCTTGAACAGAATTACCCTCTATTCCGGACATAAATGCTTTCTGAGTATAGGTCGTCAAACAGAACCTAGTTCATTTTGTGTGACAAACAAACACATGTTGATGTCGCAACACAAATGTGGATCCAAATGCGCTCTGAGGTAGATTACTTTGGTAAAAGGGTCCAGGACAAACCCTTAAGAAAAGTGTGCTCAGCTGTCCGAAAGGTCATTGCTGTACAGGGATTCTCTCAGTGGGAGCCGGACAACGGTCAAAGCATCTAAATTCCACTGGGCCCAAAGACCTCGTCATCCAGCCAGGTCACAACTCCTGTGCCAAGCCCGATGAAGTCGTTCTGTGAAGTTGGATAATGTAGTTTTTCTAAAGTGACAGATGTGACAGCATCAGTATGACCCCAGACATCTAGTTTACAAGATTTTACAAGTTTGCATGGTCAATGCGGCCTTCGGCCCTTCGGCACAAGAAAGAACAAGTTCCAGTACAAAAGACAAGAAGTCCTCGAGCAACTGGCCACTCAGCAGTGGCGATGCAGCGAAAAGCAGGATGTACCTCTCATGTCTGGCTCGTGAAGCAGTGTTGCTGGTGGCATCGCACAAGGATCTAGGGCTGTCTTGGCAACAAATGCAAGTCACATGATGTCGAGAACTGAAAATCTGCCCAAGACACTGATCTGAATCTGATGCCTTCCTCTTCATATTCCTTGCCTGCAAATCAGCTTCCGTGTTGAAGTGTTGATTGCAAGAGCTTCCAAACACCAGCTGCCTAGTCAATGAAGGGGACTCAGTATTGTTAATATGCCCATGTATGCCCTATTATGCCCTCATCTAAGCCGGCAATGTGCTGGTTGCTCAGGCCGCGGCAGTCTTCTGGCAGACCACGAACTTCCAGAAGTCTTCTCCACCGGCGTGGGGAGACCTGAGATGAACGGGGCTTGATCGCCTTTGCAAAAGCAAACGGCAGTGGAATGTTTCAAACACCGATGCACGCAGGACTCTATGGATGATCCATCATGATCCTACTGGCCACAGCATGCAGTCAAGTGATCATGACCCTACTATCTCAACTCCTATCTAATCTACTGTTATGATCCATTCCCTGCTGTGCCGTGTTGCACCCTCGCTGCAACTTAAGGCTGGGCAGTCTGGCCAAACGACTGCCATCCGGCAGCGTGGCCTCTCGATCCAGCAAGAGCGGACCTGTCTCGCAACCATTCATTAGATATCATTCATCATTCATCATTTGTCTTGAATCTGGTGTCAAGCCCCACAGACAATCTGGGTGCATAGATATGTGTCTATATATATATATAATACATGTATTATATATGGTGGTTGATCAATATTCTTTCATCCTGGAATGGCCATTCATCGCGGAAAAACAGATATCTTTCGCGGATCTTTCGCGGCCTCATCGCGAAGCATGGTCCTACAACCATGTCTAGCTAACATGAGCCGGAACATGTCATAGTATCACAAAATAGGGAGAGACATCTTGCAGCATGACCCCAGTAGATGGTTGAACGCTTCCACAGCTAGTCAGGGTCACTTGCAGCATCTGTGCGACCATTTGTGCCAAATAGAGTCAGGCACAACTCAACCCAATCCTCGTGCCAGCTACCAACACAGGGTGATGCAGCTTGGGGAATGTTGGGAGGCCTCAAGCTGGGAACCTAGACTTTAGCGGCACATTCGCGAAACTTTCGCGGATCTTTCGCGAAATTTCACTGGTGCTTTCCCCGGGAAGCCGTAACATTTGCAAACATCTGCACAGCTCGTCAGAGCAGCTGCAGGTCGTTGCCTCACTGTCAGGGCTGTGCCTACCCAGATTGCTAGTCTGTGACAGTGGGGACTTACGCACTGCCAGGGCCGGGCACGGACATGTTGAGGCTTCAGTTCGTTGGTCTGTGACATATGGGGACACTTCCGCCCACTGGCTCTGCCGGAGGATTGCCTTGCGCTTCTTTTTTTTGTCAGTCCGGTATAAATGAAAACAATGAAAGCGATGACCTTCGATAAATCTTTCGCGAAAAAAAAAAAAAAAAAGATACTTTCGCCAACCTCATCGCGAATCTTTCGCGGATGGTTCTAACAACATCTGAAAGGCTGTTTTATATAAAACTCCTTACACGGGGTTTTCGATCAACTCCCATATATATAGTTATATATATTAACAATATAGCTAGCTAGTAGTAATGTTGTTGTCTGCAGTATCGCGCGGTAGTAGAGCCCAAGATCTAGTCGTTTACAGAAGCTGCCTAGCGAAGCATAGATGTTCCCTGGTGCCAGTCGTTGCAGGCCATCCAGAACCACCAGGTGCCCTGCTATAGCGGCCTCGAGGCTTTTCGGTAGCTTTCTGGGTTGAACTACGTTTGTGGTTCAATTAGCACAGCTTTTTCATGCTTTCTCTTTTTCACTCGCAGATGCGTTTACTTTCGATTTATTCAGCTTGTGGCGGACTCTATTCCCTGTGGGTCTGCAAAACGATTCAAGAGTATCTGACTGTAGTCAAACGTCAACTTGACTGAAAAATGTCCACCATCCTCACTCAACTCCTTGTATCTCCTAATCATATCTGGTCAACATTCACACCATGATCATATACTACTAGCAACTGATCAACCCTCGTTTTGACCCGCCAGCGACGCAGCCTCCGCGACTGGAGAATCTTGCCACTCCGTCTGACCCTTCGGGTCAGTAGAACGTCTCTGTAGCAAGTCCCGCGCCATCAGGTCCTCCAACTGCCCGCTTTCAGTCACAAGCACAAAACCATTGAGGCAAAGATTCGGCAAACATGCGAACACAATGGCTTTCATTGAAACTCTTCAGAGGTGTTGTGTCTCTTGGATTCATTGAAGTTTCCCATAGCGATGGCGCAAGGAACTGACATCAATCAATGTCCCAAGCCTTGAAGCAAAAGACCGTTTTGCAGCGATAGCCCAGCATTTGTCTAAATGTGCGAAGGATCATAGTCTTTCCCACGCCCTGCGAATGGACGCCAATGGCGTGCAGTACTAACAACACGAACTTACCCCTGAAAGCGGTTTGTCAAAAAAAACTCCTGAATTCCGATTTCTCTATATTTGTGCTGTGTGGGTGGAATGCTGGATATGTACTTTCCCGGCTTCCTGAGCTCCATTGACCATTCTTGGCCAAAGATGGCCAAAAGCACAAACCCGCATTTGCCTTCTCGCCCACCAAACACATGTCGATGTCAGCGGCATGATCTTGCAGCATTGCAGCGACCTGGCGCAGGGGCTCAGGGCCACCACATCGTGCAAAATAGAACTGTACATATTGCTCCTAGTAGTATGGCCAGGAGCCCCTAGTAGCGTCCGTGCTCCTAGTAGCGATGCCAGGAGCCCCTAGTAGCTTCTTGCTCCTAGTAGTAAGGCCAGAAAAATAGCAATACCTGGTCTCCACAGCCTATCAACATGATCAGGCCAGGCTGGCCACTTTCTGCTGTGCTGGTGACAAATGCTCCATGTCTGGAGCGGACAGCCTGAAGCCAAAGAGGGACTTCTCATGGATGGAATTTGTACCCACCAACCTCAAAATCAATTAAGGTGGATAGTTAAAAGCGGAGTTTCCTGCTTCTGTGCAATTGGAGTTTTGAGAAAATGAAACATCATACGTCCGTACTCCTCCATATCTTACATGGGAGTCGAAAGGAGCTGCAACTCTCCTCAAACTGCAATCTTGCGTGTTCATTTCATGTAGTTCGATTCATGTCCTTGCCCTGTTTGTTGCGGTAGCGCTGCCTTGCCAAATTTGCTTGGAACGTCTTAGCACGACATCCATCTTGCAAAACGCTAAGGCTGATACCAGGTACCGGCTTGGACCAGGATCTCCTCAAACTAAGAGTATGCACACCAGCGGTTGGAGGCCATCGCTCTCAGGTTGGAGGCCACTTCTTGGGCATTTCTGCGTTCCAAAGCAGCAAACCGATTCTTCACCTTCTCCTCTCCAGAAGGCTTCCGAAAGGTCGCACTTGCAGTTCCTTGGACAGAATGTGAAGCAACTGGTGAAGCAACTGCTTTGGATCATTTAGTACTGAGCAATTACCCAATGGAGGCCATTGCTACTAGGCTGGGAAATAAATACATTCAAGATCATTCAAGTCATTTCCCTTGAACAATCCTAACCCTTCACACGGAGAACAAGATCCACACCAGAAGCAGTACTGCTGATGGAGGAAATGGTGTAGGCACCTGGAAATGGCAGGAAACCGATAGAAGGCAACAGGCGACCCTTAAGCCAGGATCCAAGTGTCAGTGGTACTACATGCTACTACTGACTCGGAACCCAGGGAGTGCAATTTGATGTGCTGGTGTCCTCAACGCCCCCAAACACATTGACGAAGAGTTGCTGCGCCTTCCTTCTCACGCAAGCCCTGACTGGCTAGCCCCGTGGCAAGCTGGCCAAGGGCCTTGGATGCATCAAATGGGAAGAATATGATGTCTTCATTGAAGATCTGCAGAATCCCTTTGGGACTGGGTGACAGGCAGTTGAATTTAGCATCAGCTCAAGCGGATAAGCACGCCTGGACAAACATGTGTCGCTAAAGAAAGCGTGTGTGGATGATTCTATGCTTTTTTCAAGTTCAGCAGTTGCAGGCTCCCAAAAGCTGTGTGTCTAAAGCCCTTGCATGGTTCTTCAATCGTGAAAGCCATCCATCTAATCTCCGTTCTTGGCTTCTAGGGATTGCAACGCAAAGTCATCCAGTGGCCAAAGTCCTGGGAGTCCTGGCTTGATGAAGGCAAGAGATGAGCCACCAAATAGCTGCAGCAAACCTCAGTCTTGTTTCATGTGGGACGCAACTCACTGTGACGAACTGGGAGAAAACGGTCGCCTTTCCCACACACACACAAAAAAAAAAAAAATGCCTGGAGATGAGGAATGGAATTTGTTCGGTCCAGGAAACTCTGCCAAAGGCTCCCAAGTACAGCAGCACATCATGAATCCCTGACCAAATTTGACTGCGGTGCTATTTGTTTGGCTCTTTTGATCCTCCGTCAATGCATCGCAGTTCTTCTGCGAAATGAGGAGAATCTACGCCACTCTAAGCCTCACTGGATCAATTGATCCTGTCCGCAAGTGACTTCGCAAGTATGAAATTCATTCCAGTCACTCTTTACTGTGAACAGGGCTTAAAAGTATTGCACCAGAACTTTGGCTGAAGATACAAGCTGGATTCAGGGGATGAAGGCAGAGATCATCACATGTGGTTGGTACACCAATTGTTCATCTCTCAAGAACGGAACAGTTAAACTATCACTGTCATCCACATTATCACGTCCATTGTCGTCGCTTCTTGCTCCACACCTGAAGCTCTCCTTCCGCAGGAGCTGTTGCTCCTCACAAGCCAGGCTGGATGGTTATGAAGCGAGGATGCAAGAGAATCCATTGATTGTCTTCGATTCCAGAAGGTTCTGTGCCAGAAAGGCCCATGTCCTTCTGCGTCTTTGCTGGCAATCAACCAAGCCACTTGCTCTTGAAAACTCGGGTCCTCCGCTCAAAACAGCCAGAATTCTTAGCTGAAAAAAAAACTTTTCTAGTGCTGAAGCCCACAAAGCCAGTCTCAGGATCAAGGAAGTGATGCTGGTTTTCTTTACAAATGTTTTGCAGACTCGGCCTCGGCGCGAGCTTCCAGCTTGCATCAGTTGTATGAGTCCAAATGGCAATACATTATATAGCTTTTGCAGAGAGAGAGAGAGAGAGCGGGAGAGTCTCCTCTTGCAGTTCTGAAGAGGCAAACCTCGGAGCAGTCTGCGAGATGTTCTGGCAATCCTCACTGTTCTCAAATGCCACCCCCTTAACCTCTTTCAAGTACGGAATATCCTGCTATACTATTTTTGAGAAACTGGAAATCCATGCCTATATGCTCTTGAGCCTAGGAGCCAGAGAGCTAGGGGATGTCGACGGACAGCTCTGAGGACCATATTCCTAGATCGGGAAGCTTTTACGAAGACAATGGGTTTGATGAGCACGTGCTCCAAGCTGGTCCAAGCTTTCCAAAAAGCAGGATACTCCAGAAGCTACCTGTGGCGACACCTTAAGCTGCGACTATAACCCATTGAGCGAAGAGCAACGGTGAAAGCAATCACAAGTCTTTCCGCACCTGCTAGTAGGATGGCGCCGGACCATCGCAGAGGCGCTCCGCAGCCGGCGTGCCTCTTCTTGGAAGTCTTTGTCTCCTGAAGCCGAAACTTCAAGGCGTGTCAATGATGAGCAACCAACATATCCCCAAGCTGCAACAAAAAGCTGAGATAATATTGTCAATATTACATAGTATTATGAAATATGATTGAAATATGTGTCAACGAAATATGTGTGTCCAAAAGAATGCAAATCTGCAACTTTGAGCGCCATCTTAGACCTTCCTTCGAAGTCCCACTCACCAAGGGCCGCAGCGTGCAGAAGGACCTCCCGGTCATTCCGAAGCTCTTCACTGAGGTGGCGGAAGGCGAACACATCCTGCCAAGGAGAACCACATGGCTCATGGCTCTTGGCTTTTCTAAGTTTTGAAGATGATGTTCCACTAGTGAACATGTGTGGTATGTTGAGTTCAAGATACAGCTCTCCCATTGCAGTTTGTGCCAATAAAGCGAACCTGGTCAAAACAACTACAAATGATTCGGCTCAGGCCTCTGCAAGCACCTTCAATGCAAAACCTTTGTTTGACTTCAGGCCTGCCGGGTGTGCAGGGTTTGTGACGGGAAGACTTGGGAGATTTCAGAAACGCCGTCTCTTTGGCCCAATCCCCACCAGGGTCAGCGAACTCCAAAGCGCCGCAGTGAGCACAGCGCAGCAGGAAAGCTTGATCTGACTGGAAGCTGGGCGCAAAAAACAAAGCACCCGGATCCTGGCCAGTAACTACAATACACATGAAAGAAAACTCTGCCATGTGATTTGAATATTCATCCAGCAAAATGATGGATCACTTCTGTGATGTCATTGTTTCATCCAGCGCAGAAAGAAAAACTTTAAAAAAGTGAAATAAATTCTTTGCGATGCACAACTGGTATCTGCTGGTCAATAGGCCCTGTTGACTGGGCGTCACGTTGTATATATATAATGTAATATGTAATAATATGTATATATATGTATCAAAACCATCAGTTTCCTAAAGCAACATGTTCTGGCCTTTTACTTCATATTATATCCAGCTAGCCATAGACAATAACTTTGCCCGTGGGTCAATAATCTTATTGTCTTTTGCTTGTGGTACTGCAAAGGTCTCAGGTCTGTCCTGGCTCACTGCGCACCAAACAACTTCCTCATCTGACTTCAAGGACTCAGGAACGAATTGCAAAGCCAAGCCGCTGGACCCCACAGCAGCCTGAGTACACAGCCATTGCAAACTCCTTGCAAGACCCCACTTTACCAGAACCCGAACAGTGGTTTCCTTGCTGTTGGCACATATTGCTACCAGTTGTGGCCGAGAGACCAAGACAAGCTCTTTGTCCTCAAGAAGCTCTGCAAACACATGTTCCAAGCACATACCTGCTCGCAGCAAATGTCAGCTGAATTTGCCGCTGCCAGCCAATCACCAGAATGGAGCCAAATCAGTACATTACATTACTGTCTGCAAGCAAGGACGTTACTAGGGCTAGGGGCTCCTGGCCTTACTACTAGGAGCAAGGACGCTACTATTTCTGAACTCAAAAACGAGGAAACCCGTCGCAACTCCTTGCCTGCAGTCACTACTGCACGCATCACGAAGCTCCGCTGGCAACGCAGGGCTGAAAAACGTAAGGCACTGCAGTCAGATGCAACAGCGGCCAGGACTAGGTCCTGACAGGCGCAAATCAGCAAAACACATCCAGGCCTGAAGCTTGCGCTTTATTATGGATCGCATAAAAGGTGGAAACGTTATATCGCTAGCGATCAATGATCTGTCACCCAATGCAGGTTTCCGTAATTATTGGACCTCCATGCCTCATCTTCCTGGAAGTGGGGCACATGCTCCAGCGCTGCACCCTGCAGCTTTAGGGCTTCCAAGACGAAGCTTCGATCTGCCAGCAGCTCCTGGCCTAGCAACAAATGCGTTGGGGTGGTCTGGTGCAAGATAACTCACAAGAAGCGTAGAAAAATGTAGAAAATTATTGTCAAAAAATGCACAAAAAAACAGGCCCAACCAAGCATGTCTAATGAATGCCTCCAGTGATCCCCTTCAGTTGACGCCCAAAAAAGCGGTGAGACGGCGATTTGCTAGGAACAAGGACGCTACTAGTAGCAAAGGGGATCGCTACTAGGAGCAAGGACGCTACTAGTAGCTCCTGGCCCTACTACTAGGAACAAGGACGCTACTAGTTTCTGGCAAAAAGGCCACGCTGCGCTGCGCTCGTTTTTTCGCACGGCGCCTGCAAAAGCCATGGCCTCTGCACGGCTCCGCACCGCCGCCAGCGCCACGCACCGCTCGCTGCGCAGGTGGCTGGAAGCGAAGCGCAGGGCACGGCCATCGGCGGACACGGCATCTAAGACGAGGCTAAAGTCAGCCTGATCGAGTCAGTTGGACAGGCACTAACGGCATAGAATGAAGAATAACTGGGAACCATGTCAAGGTTGTAAGAAAGCCCATTTGGATGCATTTGGTGCCAGCTGCTACAATTGTGTAGCAAGGCCCTGAGTATTTAGTCACGAACACATTTGAACATCATTGAGCCCTCAAAAACATTCTTGACCTCACTGACCCGGCCACACCTTCAGTTCCTGCGGGACAAACTGAAGTGCCTCCGCGCTGCAGCAAACGGCCTCCAAGGCGAATGGCAAGCTGGCTCAGATGGTTGCTGTACCAGTGCCATTGATGAAGCTGAACATTCTCCACACAACTTGAGAGGAGGGAGACACGAAAGGTAGGACAGCGGGAAGAGAAGAGAACGCGAGAGGCAGGAACAAAAATGCAATGTTCGACATGGTGATTTATCCCCTCGGAGGCGACCTTTCGTACATATATGTTCATATGCGCTTTAAATGTTCAAACATGTGCTCTCGAAATGTTCAAAAAGGTTCTTAGGAAAACAAACTTGCCCCATGGCTCAGATCATCGGTGAGCATTGAATCGGAACATCATACGATTTGAACTATCCTGAAACCATAAGAGGCTCACGAAGACGCTCCCCAGGAGAGAATTGACGTGCTTCACAAAACAAACTCTAGGTATGTATCCCCTCGGGGAACACCTTTCGTGATTAGAATTTCATATTCACTCTTTCTGAATGTTCAAGAGGGTTTCAACTATCCTGAAATCATGAGAGGCTCACGAAGACGATCTCCAGGAGAGAATTGATTTTAGAGGGGGGGGGGGTCTGTATTGAAGAATCAATTCCAATGGGGCGGGGGGGGGGGGGCTGTTTTTAAAAAATAAATTGGGGGGGGGGGGGGGGGGGGGGGGGTCTGAATTGAGCGATCAATTATTAGACCCGGACGTCCCAACACTTGCTTCGCAAGAAACTCAAGGTATCCCCTAAAGGGCTACCTTTCGTGAATAGCTTTCACTTGATTTCACAGCTTCCGGGTGGCCGGCCAGTTTAAGCAACACCGACCACAGACTTGGCAGCTTGAAGGTGGCTTTTTTGAAGATAGGAGCCACTGATCGGACGCAGGTTGATACAAATCACTTAGGTTGACATCTGCGAGAGGTCAAAGAGACTCAGAAGAAACCAAAAGAGCAGATATGAGCAGATACTGGGCAAAGACGGCAGGGCACTTAGGAGTGTTTAAATCTATCGTGAAGGCTGATTTTGAGCCTTGCCGGAGGCCAGGCCTTGCCAAAGCACTGGTTATAAGTTATAAGGCCACTGCGAAACGTGTCATGACTAGTAACAAGAAATAACAAGAAGCTACTAGGAACAAAGGGCATCGCTACTAGGAGCAAGGACGCTACTAGGGGCTCCTGGCCGTACTACTAGTAACAAGGACGCTACTAGTCTCACCAGTCCTGGCCTCCCGTGCGAAGTCCACATCATCTTGCAATGCACTGAGAGCAAGGCATCGTCCATCGCCGCTCACCGCTGCCAGGACGAGGTCCTTGTCATGGCGGCACCTCTCCTGCCCGGTCATCTGAACTAAGAAGATGAAAGCTTGACTCAGGCATGTCCAAGCCTGGTTCAAGCAATAAAAAAGAGCCAGTTCTTTCAGGTAAATCTCGCAAATCTCAAGCTGCATCTATCAAATGATGTCTGGACAAACCATCCGAAATGACTTGCCCACTGAGATGGCTCGGTCCGGGAGCATTCGAAGAGTCATGGCATTTGCACGGATCATCTCCAAAGCAAAATTGTCATCGTTGAGCAGCTCTTCCGCAACCTGGTCCAGTGCGAGGGGAGCTGGAGAGAAACTGTAGTCGTGCAATCCTATGATCTGGCTATGTAGAATATGAAGATGGCGGGGCTATGTCAGGTTTGATGTTTTATTGCATCAGCGACAACTGCCCTGTGAAACAAACCCTGTCAATGTGGCACAAGCTTAGCTCTTCTTGCTTGCTAGGGACGTACTTCACTGCCCAGCTGCTGTTGGCTACAGCTGCCAGCACCACCTCCCGGTCCCTTGGGCACAAGGGCAAGCCAAGTTGACGAGTTTGAGTTCAAGCCTTCCTTCTCACTGACCCAAGACCTTCACAACTGCATATAACTGCCGAGACAAGGATGACACACAAATGCTTCAAGAGCACAACAGCTTCTTTCAAACTGCTCATCGGTGACCTTGCCTTTGCAGCTTCGGCTGCGCGTAGCACAGCAAATCACCGTACTGAGTCACGACGTCCAAGACAACCTGGACGAAGGGCCCCTCAGGAGACTGTTGAAACAAGGTGATTTAATGAAATACATTGAACATAGACAGTCTGCTGCTAGCCCCTGAAGCTGCGTCCTTGCGGTGAAACGCACCGCGGTTGATCATGCTCTTGGCGTCGGCGCGTGAGAGTCTCTGCGCCATCATTCGCCATTCAGCAGAGAAACAGATTCAATCGGAGTTTCTGTCGTACAAGTACAAGTAGAGTTTGCACGGGTGAAAGATTTGGCTGGCTAGGTTCAAGACTACATCATCTTTCTTGCCAAGTGAAAGGAACCCTGTCTGCTCACAGGAAAAGACTGTTCGCTGTCATCTGCCCTGCAAAGATCGGCTTGCAAGGCGCAGGGTTCAATTCATCCCAGATTAAGGTAACGGCCCCATTGGGGTCCTTCAAAGAGCCAAAAACAAGCAACGGCAAATGGTGTACTCAACCTCTTCACGGCCAAAGTGGTGAAGCCTTACTCACTCTCTCTCTCTCTCTCTCCCTTCCCTCAAGAGCGTGGAGTGGAACCCTTCCAAAACGAACAACACCAGGTTTACCACTCGACTGTGCTTAGGCAACAACGAGCGGTCCGGATAGCCGCCCGGTCCGGCAATGGGGGCACTCGTATGCCACCCTGGTAGCGAGCAAAGTTTTGAGACGGTTACAATATGTTACAATCAACAAGTTTTGCAACATCAACTGAAAGAGTTCTTCGAAACGGACGTACTGTTAGATGCTTTCCCTTCTTTACGGATGACGACGAGTTAACTCTTCTTATCGCTGTTTGAAAGCTACTTCCCAATGGTGCAGGCAAGAAACCGTGATAGTGAATTTGATGTCAGTGAGGTTAGGTGCGTTGGTGCGTCTGTCTCACTCTTTCTTTTTGGATCTGTTTGACACTGTTGGAATGCGGTATTGCCTAATCTCACACAGACTTTGGCGTACCAAAGAGATTGAAACAACATCCACTGAGATTTCAGCAAGACATGGCAATATGTGGCAATGATAGTCTGCCTGCTTCGCGTGCTTTATGAAGCTTTGAAGTACTTGCAAGACCTGGCGGCAGGGTGCAGTTCGGACCAGAAAAAATTGTTGGATCATGAGCGTCTCAGAGTTTCCTCTTTTGCACATGGTGCTGGTTTGAAGCAGCAATCACAGTGGGAGATGTTTTGTCATTTGACGAAGCTGAATGAAGCTGGACGACCTTGCAGCCATGTGCAACCTGCTGCAGACAGGATGTCTCGGCCTTCTTAAACTCTTTCAGGTCATCATCTTGTGGCGGAGCTTCCAAGCGGTTGATTTGCCGCAGGACCTTCGATTGCGGGAAGTGGTAAAACTCAGGCAACCTAGCCTACGACGTGTGCCAGGCAGTTGCTGCGACTACTCATTTCGTGCATGTTTGCTCCGGAGTCTAGGTATGGCAGCTAGAAATATCTTCAGTACCACTTCTCCAAGGAGGCTAGTATGTAGTTGGATTCTACATAAGAAATCGACACATCTGTAGGACAAATCATGCACCTCTGGTACAGAGGGAGGCCAAAGGACATGTCCAGCAAAGCGTGATCTCCTCAGGTTCTCAGAACATTCCTCAGATATTTGCGTTCACAGAAAGATTTCAATCGATTTCAAGCTTCGTGGCTGATGCGGAGGCCTTGTGCTGGAAAGTAACCAAGAAGTTCACAAAGACTAAAAGCTCTTGGGCTTCCGGCAGGGGTGGGTCTAGGGGATTGCCTCTCTTTGGCATGCCTTCCAGCCATTCACAGGAACTCCATGCAATGCATCCCAAGAAAAGGATCCTCAAAGTGAGACCAGGCCTATAGCAATGACAATAAACTCCGGGTGCACTGGCTCAAGCTTCAGGTCCTGTGAGACTTTTGGATGTCCATTCTAGAAATTTCTAGATTATGCGTTCAACAAGCTTACGTTGACTTGAGGATCTTCACAGGCACCAAATGGTCCTGGTTGCCCTTGACTTTGCCAGATCCTGGGAAAAACGTCACCCTCTTCAAGTCACCCTTGGCGCGTTGAGATTTCAAAATCACTAGGGTCCTGTGACGCGGCCATGGGACATCAAAAAACGTCCGTCCTGCCGGCAGTGCCGTTTTGTCAAAGGACAATCGACTTCAAGGTTCTCGAAGCAATGCAGTTCTGCGAGAAACCTCGAGCTGCATCTCTCTGTTCTCCAAAAGGTTGTTGAGAAGCGGCAGTACCTGTCACGCTGGAGACCAAACTAAATCTCTACCCTTTGAATGATGCCTTGTAACTCATGCTTTCGTGATGATATGTTGTGATGCATCAACGCCGCAATATTTTGCTGCGGGGAAGGTCCGTTTGTTCACAAGCAAGGTCAGTGCATTATGCCAATCTAGGTGCCTGTTCAGGTTTGGCATTCTATTCACTAGTCCACTAGTAAGTGCAAAAGGTGGGGCATGTCATCTCAACCATTGGCTCAGCGGCATTTAGCGGCATCTTGACATGCCCCAGTACCGATCACGCAGATCTTTCGGGCACTCTATTCTCGAGAAAACAAAGTTCTTGTTTGGGATCGATCTCGAATGTGGAACGCTGTTGGGGTAGTGCGAAAAGTCAAGGTGGTTGAAGGAGCCGTAGGCATTCTTCTGACCAGGGCTCGTAGGACACCAATCTTCATTTCCGGGATGTGGGCAAAGGTCACCCACCACGACGATAATCTCTTCTGACATGAAAGGGCTGTCCACGTCATCTTCTGACTCAGATGCTGATTCCTCAAGAGACTCTGATTCCTCAAGGCTGTACAAGGCTTTGCCCTTCTCGCCATAGCCTGATCTCAGGAAACGGCCTTTGGCACAAGAGAGGCAGCCCATACCTGTGGTACCTCCACCTCCACCGGCCTTGCCACACCAGCAGGCACCATTTCCATTGCAATTTTGCCACATTGACTGAGCTGAAGCTACGTTGTGGTAAGGAGTTCCTGCAACCAGCGCATGAGTGTCGATTCCACCGCATGCTGCTCGAGGAGCATCCCCATACATGGTTGTAGTCGCCCAGTGGTGATAGCCGTAAAGTGGAATCTGGGAGGATGTGTTCACGAAAACTCCATCTTCATCAATGACACTTTCGTGTTCTTGATCCTTGTCCAATGCACCCTGGACCGCTGCAGTATTTAGCCTGAGGCAGCAAAGCAGTGGGATGCCAGCAAGACAAGATTAAGATACACATAGTTGGTCACATAGACATGGCCATGATGGCAACTTACGGTTAAAAACGAACTTGTCATCGAAACTCCACGTTATTTAGGTAAGCAAGTCAGGCACTGGACCATATGTGATTATGACATGTTACAGCTTTAGATTGTGAAGGGTGGTGGGACCACCTGCCCGTCTGGTGCATGGCTCAACCCTCAAAAGGGTAAGCTTTTTGAATTAAGCGCAACATGGATTATCAAAGCAGACACAAAGTTCCAAGTTACAGAAGTTTCAGTTGATGTGCGGCAGAGAGGCTGCAGCGCATTGAATGTGCACTCGGCTGATGAGCACTCGGAATCTTCCTGGAGTGCCCGAAGCTCATCTGAAGCTGCTGCGCAGGAAAGCACGAAGAGGACCCGCAGCATCATTGCCAAGATTTACAGCTGGCGGGGGGGCGAATTGAGACAGGAAAAACTCGTCATGCATCAAGGAAACTCGTCGCGCTAACTCAAAGTCGTTTTTTTTTTTCAACACCAAGTGGCTTCTTGTTCCTAGTAGCGATGCCAGCAGCCCCTAGTAGCTTCTTGTTCCTAGTAGCGATGCCAGGAGCCCCTAGGGTGTCCAAAAGGATCCATGGCAATCCATGCCATGCTATGCCTTGACCTCGGTCCATTTCACTTCGTCTGCACACGACGCTGGGGCACATTGCGTTCTGCCTTCTCGATCCCTTCCAGCCTTTCAGCACCACACGGAAAGGAGAATCTCTCTCCCTTTCAGTGAGTCCAGTGCAGAAATTACAGTGAAAAATGACAAAACCGTGTTGTCCTCAGATTGAAAGCCACTTGCGGGTTCTGCTTTGGGGCTCCAGCACGAGTACTCGGCCTTGCAAAGCTGCTCTTACAGGCCTGAGTTCAAAAAAGAAAATGCGCAAAGGAGTGCTGAAAGCCAAGGTTGTGCTACCCATGTCAGCCTCCTTCGAGCCAACCCTGAAGAGATTGGCCTTTTAAATGTCCCCACTCTGTCTCTCAGAGTGGGTAGCTTTGTGTCCGATGATTGATGCTTTCCGAGATTTCAATCAGACCTCATTATCTTTATGTTCCAAAGTGAGGCCTGGGTAGCTGAGAATCAAGGCGGCTGATCAATATAGAGGGCATCGCCTTGCAACTTGAAAGCTTAATTGACTTAAATCATCCAGCAAACAAACCCAAGAGACAATGGACAAAACGCTGTCAATAGCCAATGTTATAGGGATTTTGCAAGGGAGCACTACCACTTTTTCCAAAAGAAGCTGTGACGTCTGACGCAGCACGCAAAGTTTCACAAGCGCAAGCTCCGACAAAACATAGACAGCGGGGCCAACAAAAGTCCGCACGTCATAATTCTGCTAACATAATTCAAGGTGCTGTCCAGATTTTGACGGCCTGTTCCATGTGCGCAGCACATATTGTGAAACTGGGGCAAAAGAAATCAGTGGGCACTCCTCCAAGCAAGGAATGGCTCTTTTCAACTCAGGCATCGAGATGGTATCTGTTTCTTGGCCAACCACCTGCAACGGAATGGGCCAATCTCAGTATCTTTGGACTGGTCCAAAGGATGCAAGGGCTGGCCTCGCTGGCGAATCAGGCTCAAGACCCACACACACCCATCAGTCTGCAGCTAAGTGGGAAACTGTCTTGGCAAAGCGTCTTAGAGTCCATCTCATGGCGCCTTTTTGGGAAATAGAATTAGCAATACATGGGACAGGACAAGGTGCTTTCACGGTGATGACGAGGAGTCAGCACAGTCTGATTGACTTGACGCTTCCTGAAAGCAGGAAACACTTCTGTCAAAAGCCTTTTACTGTCTGGCGTGAAACAGAGGGGACTCGGTCTGGTGTTATGAAAGATCACAAGATTCCCAAGCAGTCACCAAAGTCGTTAGTCCTTCTGTCAATCGCGGTCTGCTAATGTTGTGGTTGGAGCGAGCACGTTGGCATAGATCTTTGCTTTCGAACAAAGCTCACCCCTCGCGAGGTTCAAGTTGTCCTGACACCGCTTGATGAAAGAGGCCAGCAAATAGCCCGGCACTGTGAGCACAGCAAAAACCATCAGCAGCTGCAGCTCGACCATATCCTGCGATATTTTTGTGCCACTCAGAATTTCAAACCTCAATTTTTGGAAATCGGGCACAATGGAATCCGAATCATTCGGCGGCATCAATCAAAACAGTGGATTGTATAATATTGTATAATATTGTATACATTATTTCCACTACTGCACAACGGGTCACCCACCTTCGAGGTCGCGCCCAACGTGAAGGCCGCCGTTGAAGCCGCTGTGCCGAACACGAAGACGTTGGCAAAGGCTCCTGCGCTGGCCTGCACGGATAATCTCGGCAACTCTGATTGAAAGCACTGCAACTTGGATATTGCATATAGCCCAAGCCAAACTACATGCACATCAAGAGAAGTTTCTTGTCCTGCCTCCCCAGGGAAGAAATCTGCAAAAATAGCTTTGTTTGTGCTTTCATACACAGCTCGACCGATGCCCATGAGAACGTAGAAAACCTTAGGAGGCAATACGTGTGAAATGTTCTCGCAAGTGCTGTACCTACAGAACCTGCACAAGTACATGAAAGTACTGTTTTTTGCCAAACGCGTGCTCAAGCGCTCGCCATCTTTCTAAGAAACTCAAGGCAAAAGGTGCACCTATAGTCCGGGCAGCACTGCGTGACATGCTTCATGAAACAGCAGTGCGGAACTGCAAACTGATAAATTGTCACGTTCTTTTCGCGCAGCAAGTGCAGTGAGCTGGCGTATGGGCCATCGAGCCACTTACGCAGATCACCCCTCCAAGCCTTTGTGGCCATCGTGAGGCCGTTAGCGAACATGCGAATTTGCTTCTCCTACTAAATGAACTCCTGGACGCTGCGGATGTCTTCTCACAGTTGTGTTTGGGCGCTCCGTCGTCACGGCGCAAGGACTTACAGCCCGTCTCTTGCAGCCGGGCCCGCCTCCAGCTGGTCAAGTCCTTGTGAGGCTTCTCGCCTGCGAGGAGCTCAGAGAGCATGAGGTTGGCAAAGATCGGCAAACTCTGGCAAGGTCAAAGAGTTTGCACAGAAGCTGAGCGAGAATGTCATGAAAAGACGGAAGTGTGGGTAACAACCATACTGACACACTCAAGCCCAACTTTGAAGGGGAGAAGTGTACATGTCGTGCGGTTCGCCTAGGGGACAATGGTGCTTTGCCAACATGTACGTTTGGGGTTTTAAAACCTGCGCGCGCACGGCTTCATGGGGAGATCCAGCAGTTGAAACACTGTTGGAAGAGCAGGGACACCGAATTCCCTGGTTTTTGTGGAGTACGAGAAGCTGGCATCATGGACAATGACCAGGACATTGGCGTTCAAGAGCAATCGAGCAATCGGCGCAATCCACGGATGGGCGTCGGTCGATTGCGCTGATAGATGGTTCTCTGATAAGCGCTGTTCATCCTGGGGAAGCATCGGGCCCAGGGCTTGACAACCACAGTTCCTGAAGAGCTCCAGGGGCCGTTGAGGACATGTCTGGAAGTCGCGCTGCGTGATGTGTGACGCCCATGATGACGTCGTTGATGCCAAGCACGTCCGATAGTGTGAGGCGTCTGTATGCGTTGGCTGGAAGCGGATCGTCGAGGTGGTTTGGGGGGTCGTGTCGTAGGCCCTCTTAGGCTTCTGTTCCGGATTGTACTCAGCCCCTCCCAGAAATGGCCAGCTACGCAAAGTGTTGCGGTTTCTCGGTTGCCTCATCGGGCGTGGCTGCGGATTCCTGCTAACAACTCGAACCTCGTCAGTTGCTATCAATACACGTTGTTTTCACTGATAGATGACAATCTTAGATCACAAACAGCGCGACCGACCCCCAAAAACCAAGCGCGAAAAGTCTAAAGCCCTGCAAAGTTTTGCCTGGCTGCGCGAAAAGAATGGGTTTGGGAGAACCTAGACGAGAGTTGGGTTTGCGCTGGCAAAATGAAGCGGTTGCCTCTGCGGGCGTGGCTGCGGATTCCTCCTTGGGCTCTTCTGCTTCCGCCCAACAAAAGTTCTTCTGTGGGGCCCGCCCCTTAGCCGAAGGATCGCGCAAGCATTTGTCCAGAAACCGCTTGGGTTTATTCCCTGGTTCGAGAGGTTCTTCGCCAAAAGGCAGCGTCCCCTGAGCTAGGTGAGGCACTGCAAAGTAAAGATTCATGCCAAAGCAACTTTTCATGGTAAAGTAAGGTAAAGGGAAAACATCTCATGGTTTCAAACGGAAAGCTGAAAGGAAAACACGTCGAGCGGTCGAGCGGCGAACTTCTCATGGGACGTCACCTCGGCGTTTGTAAAGGTGACAGCCTCGATGACTGATGCTGCTGGCCGCAGCTTCTCCGGTTCTTGCGCTTCTGATGGCCACGGAGGTGGCCTTTGCAAAGCGCTGCTTTGGAAAACGCGCGCCGTCTAGGGCCTGACAGGCGCTGATTTTGCCGTCGACCGAGAGGTACAAGCGGAGGGCTAAAGTCACATCAGTTGGCTAAAAGTCGCATCACTGCACGGCACACCGCACTTGGAAGGAAGTATAGGGAAGTCACATCAAGTCAAAAGCGCACCAATTTGATGCGACTTTCCTCCAGCGAGGCACCAATAGTGGGAGCTGCAAAAGTGCTGCAAAAAGGCGCATGGACCTTGGAACCAAGATCCGTCCAGTCCTGGGCCAAGGTCGTCATTTTTGAAGCAAGAAGGAGGTCGAGAGACACTAGGTACAGCGCCACGTCCGGTGCTCCTCACCATAGAGCCACAGTTCTCATGGAAGGCCGCCAACCCCCGCCCGTCATCGGCGCTGCAGGGGGCGGTCGTCGGCCTCGGCGCCGCCGAAGACATGTCAAGCAGCCGGCATGGCATCAGCACAAGGAATGGTCAGCTGGAGCGAATGGGCAAAGCTCCGCTACCAACTTGGCAAAACGCGTGCTCAAGTGCATGCCATCTTTTCTAAGAAGCTCGAGGCAAAAGGTGCACCCAGTCCAGCCAGCACTGCATGACATGCTTCACGAAACAGTGGTGCTGAACTGCAAATAGTCAGCTTTTGACAAAACAAACAAACAGCAGCAGATTGAAGAAATACAAACAAGTGCTGTGCGTGCGATTGTTTCGTAATTAGCCCTGGCAAAGCGGAAAAAAATGTGAGGCCTTTCTTGATCCTTGCTTTTGAAATCCGTTTGTTATGCCGCATCCTTTGCAACACTTCAATCTCATTATTTAGGTTGATGTTCCAAGTTCTTGTTCAAATACGATCAAGCTTGGAATAGGCCTCTGTCGTTGGCACGACGATTGAACTTGCTCTTCTATCTGAGAGGGCGGATGTCCGTTGGATGTTTCTTGGATCCAACAAGATTCTAGATTCAAGAATTCAAACCGCACTCAGGTTAGCGTCCATCCAATACTTTGCTTCCCCTTAACCATCCTTGTCAAAATCTCCAGTCTTCTCCAGTCCAAGCCTCCCTAGAACATGCATCTGCCAAGCAACGAGCACACCCCATCCCCAGGTCTCCGGGTGGCCCACAAACCTCAAAGAAGCGGTGTCAAGCATTGCCAGCGACAACGGTGTCGTTCAGCTTTCGCCGAGTCACTTGCTGAGCACCCCCAAGAGCAGGAATGCCAGAGATCCCAAGGCAACAACAGGGCCTTTGCCAATTTTCCTGAGGGAAATGAAGACGATGAGATAATGAGATATGATCAAAAGGACACAACAGAAAATGGAAAGAACACGCGGCACTTTTGCTCACGTTGCAAACAGTTCATGCAAATCCATTGCTTGTGCAACAGATTGTTAGAGGAAATTATACTACCTCCATTATTCCATTAGCTCGGTCTTTTCTGTTCATCGCTTTATGTCTTGCTCTCTGACAATGATGATTTTATGCATGATTGCTGCTTGCTCCCGTCAGACCTCTCAAAAACTGGGCCAGCACCACATGATCTT